CATCTAAAACATCAAACTGATATTGCTTCTACTACCGCATATACTCGTGTATATACTTCAAGTATTGGGTGACCCCTAAATTTTTGGCAAGAGTTTCTAGTGGAAACAAAGCAAGCGAAATTAAGGTGAAAGAAATTCTAGGAAAAGATGAATAATGGCTGACAATAATTCACCTAATAATAAAAATCAAGATAATATAACTGAAAGTGTAAATAAATGAAACGAAATTAAGATTTAAAAATAGTAATAATAACTGTCTACAATGTATTTACACTACTTGCATCGTTCGAACTGATTTCCTTACCGCTACTGCCATATTCACAACGTTTCGGCCGTTGTACGCTCCGACCTTCTTCAGCTAATATACGATGAAATTTAGAACCGTTTATTTAGGCTACGGGAGTAGATTGTTTAAGTAATCCAAAAAGGGACTTGATCCAAAGCGTTGTAAGTTCAATACCTGGCCACAACATTTAGAACAAAAACTTGTTGAGTTACTAAATAGAATTAACTGACACTGAGAAAAAATGGCATGGCATGTTGAATTAGAACAATCTACCCCGTGGACTAAATAAAGCATTCGTGTCGAAATTCCATAGTATATCAGCTGAAAAAGGTTGAAGCATACAACAGCTGAAACGTCATAAAAATGGCAATAAAGATGAGGACAACAGCCCGATCAAAAATAGTTCGCGTCATGGTACACCACCATTTTTAACAACTCATTATATATATTTCTAACAAATAGTGTCTACAACATATGCGCTGACATTTAATTTTCATAAAAATTTTTTAATTGTTACAGGCTAGTGTTGGCATAATGGCCCTGTCATCCTGAGTCAAATATATTATTGTAGATCATTCGTAAATGTATCCCCTCCCTCACAGCCAGGTGCTTTCGCATGGTTTGTCACAACGCTGAGCTTCCATGGAAACAATTATCCAACACGTCTAACAATAATGATTCATATTTCTACTTTGGATGCCAAAAAGATCTGTTCGGATTAAAAAAAAAAGATCTGTTTAAATACCAAAAAGATCTGTTCGAATACCAAACAGATTTTTTTCGAATACCAAGAAACATCTCTTCAAATACCAAAAAGATCTGTTCGAATACCAAAAAAAAAAAGATCTGTTTGAATGCCAAAAAGATCTGTTCGAATACCAAAAAAAATCTATTCGAATACCATAACAGATCTGTTCAAATACCAAAAGGATCTGTTCGAATACCAAAAAAAGATCTGTGAAAATGCCAAAAAGATCTGTTCGAATGCCAAACAGATCTGTTCAAATACCAAAAAGATCTGTTCGAATAACAAAAGAGATCTGTTCAAATACCAAAAAGATCTGTTCGAATACCAAAAGAGATCTGTTCAAATACCAAAAAGATCTGTTCAAATACCAAAAAGATCTGTTCGAATACCAGAAATACCTGTTCAAATGCCAAAAAGATTTGTTCGAATCCAAAAAACATCTATACGAATACCAAAAATGATCTGTTCGAATACTAAAAAGATTTGTTCGAATACCAAAAATCAAAAAGTTCATATGTACATATTTTTCGCTTCTTCCAATGTCCGTCCAGATGTCCCCGAACTTAACTAAAGTGTGTTATTTGTGAATGTGTGAATGCAGTTAGCGTCGCAAATAAGGCACTTGCCGCTTGTAAATAAGGAAAGCGGTTATGCCGTTCTGTGGCACCGACCGTCGTCCTGGTCGAGATCCAAAGGTTTCAGATAAAAATCAAAATGTTAACTCCACCTAAATATCTCCTATGTCGTTGAATGATGCATACAGGGATAACAGACTAGGTTGCGACCGCATGACAGTGGGCAGAGAACGATTTTTCCAGGATTGACTTCCGCAACAGCAGTGGTGATATTTGTAGATGCAAAGACCAGCGTGTATGCCGACAATGATGCGGATGTTGACGTTTTTTCAGGAGACTGCTAATAACTGTCGATAACAGTAGAACATTTATTTCTTGCCCATTATATGACTGATATGCCTTGCATACACAGGCTGTTGGTATTGATCGAGTGATGATTTACGTCCATGCATCTGATGCTGTCTTCGTCATGTTCTTTGGTTGCAGCGTTCGGCTTATCAAAGGCATATTAAATCTATTTTATAGACTCCGTGTATTCGTGGTCTACATCAGGTTTATTCGTGTTTTGGAGAACCTTCAAATGAGCAGTAGGAGACAATGGAAGACTACCTATGTGGGTAGAACCATGCCTGTCAGAGACTAAAGGTCAGTCCCACGCGTTCAACGAGGAGAGACGCTTTTTACCAATTAGTGTTTACGAACTTGGCGGCAGATATATATTCTGTTTCTTTTCCATATAGTTGTTTCGCTTTCAGCGAGGTTGGATCTCTCCTTCTATGTTTAAAACAGCTTGGGGAGTGAGAAGCTGTTAAATAACAGAGGGTGGGCGTCAGACAGACACGGTCAATTGTAGAACACGGAGCTAGCGAAAGGATATGGGAGTCAAGAACCCCACTCTCTCATATTCATGCTCAGTACAATGTGCGGTTTTGAGAGCGTCATCGACACTTTAGGAGTCGCCACTGATATGAAAAGAGTTATTATCTAGTTCGATATGCGCCATAGGTGATCAGATGTTGGAGAAGCTGTGGTATACCAGAGCAATACCCGATGTTTAGAAGTGACTCGAGCGAGAAGGCAACGTCGTTGACTCGCAAAAGTCGTCCGGTATTCACCTTACTGGACGCCCGTGGCATAAAGAATAGGTTTATCAGTCATTAGAGCCAGCCTAAGCGAAACGTGTGCCCAAGACGAGAAAAGGTCATCTAGCGGTACCAAAGAATGCTGCTGGAAGCATTCTCCATGTCAGGCATAAGGACACTCTCGAGGAAATAGGATGACGCCTCGAGGTAGATGATCTGTTTCGAGAGACGTATCGTTTAATCGTAACGCTCTCAATCGCCAACACTAAACTAAACTACACTCGGCTCTTAAAAGAAATTTCTAACTAGAAATTCACATGGCGAGTCGACACAAAACGTTGGCTGAAGTGACGGCTTAGGCGCTATTTTTATTCTTTCTCCGAACATTGAGGTTAGCCGAAAACGGCTGCAGAATTAATTTCAACTTCACCCACCGCGATGCGAATGAGTCCGAAATTTAATTGTCGATAACACCAAAACGGTAGATTTTATCAAATGTTTTTTGTTATTTTCGAATTAAGCATGTACATTTACACCTAAATGGAAATATTTGGCAAATTTTTATTAGAAACTGAACGCAGGGCTTGAACTGCAAATTATTCTTTTGAGATTCCGAGTTGAAATTAATTCTGTCACCCCGAAAAAATAGGTCGCATAATCTCATTAGTTACTACCAGGTCACCTTCACCTAATAATAGAAATATCACTAATAATAATAATAATAATAAAGAAAATAAAGAAATTGAAAGGAAGACATACACCCTTGTGCAAATTAATTGAAACAACCACTTTAGATTTTTTCTTTCACGATACGGTCAGTTTTAGACACACTGGCGCGATAGGGTGTAATCGATTTTTTTCCTCGGTTGTGTGCAGTAATATGAATCTATTTTCGGGATGTATGATGAAATTTATTTGGCCTTGAAAAATATTGCATCATCCGTGATTGCATCAGATTTTCATCACGCCCAGGCACTACTGTCTCGACTGTCGATTAGTTTTCCTACGATCATTATCTGCGATGGACGTTACTCCAAGGAAACGTACGAAAATTGTAACTCTGCACGAACACATTGGCAAGCCTTACCAGTGACCAAATCAAAATACTATAGACTGGCCCGGAAACTCTCCTGTTTTAAATCCAATATTCACTTACAAAAAAGAAAAGAATTATTTTTGCAATCCGAAGTATGATTCGGCTTTAAATAATCCACAAAGGGTTGATAACTCATAAAAAAACAAATGAATCAGTCAATTTCTCAGAAGTGAAACATGAGCACGTTCACACAGGCACAAACGCACACAAACACGCAGACTATGAAAGGAAAAACATTACCCTTGCACCAATGAAAAGTGCATACACCCTTGTGGAAATTAAAGAAGCGTACGGAAATTTTAATGGTGCACGAACACACTAGCAAGCCTTAGCAGTGAGCAAATCAAAGTACTATAGACTGGCCCAGAAACTCTCTTGATTTAAATCCAATCGAGAATCTGCGTTCAGTCTGCAAGGAACGACTTCGTGGAATGGACATACAAAATACTAACATGTTCAGTGGGTCATGTTTCACTGGAAAAATAGGAAAAAAAATGTAAATAATAACGGAATTATTCGTTTTGTTTCAATTAATTTACACAAGGGTGTAGGTGATCATGGCCCTCCCCATCTTCCTGCATAATTAATTTACACAAGGGTGTATATTAATTTATAGTATTGTTAGGTCTAAATTAATTTATATTTTCTCAGATTCTTATAAACTAATTTATAGCATTTGTTCGTCGTCGTCGTCTAAAGTGTCGTAGGTGATTCACCTCTAGAGGAATGGTCCGAAATCAGAGAGGTCCATGGTGCCGTGCCATGTCGCATACTCATATTTGTTCCAACCATTTTAATAAACCCGAGGATTCCATTATTTTCTGTCACGGTTCGAAGTAGGAGTGACAGTTCCTTTCTTCGGGACGTCACGAGAATTGGACTTGCTTTTGGTTCCTCTCACCTTTGCCTAAAGAGGCAGCACCTAGGAAATATACTAGTATCAAAAGTACTACTTTTTTTTATTTTCATTTATCCCTTTACTTAGAGCCACAAGTTTTGAGTGAGTCATAACCGTCGGGGTTCTCAACTCAAAGGATATGCTACGTAGTACGCTAGCGTTAAGTCATAATGTTTAGGACGTTCGGTGGGAATCCGGCACTGAACAGGTCAAATGCATACATTTGTGCCTCTAATCCTGATTGCACGCTTCTCCCTCTCGCCCGTCGTTTGTTTTGTTTTATTTTATGGTATATCGACCTCAATGGGTTATTTAATGCCGACAAGATTTTTACTGCTGGTATATTATCTATCTATCTATCTATCTATCTATCTATTGGTCTGGTTATTGTTTTATGGCATACCTCAATGGGTTATTCAATGGGATTTACTGCTGGTAATATCGGACAATATCCAGCTATCTATTGGTCTGGTTTTTTTTTTATGGCATATCAACCTCAATGGGTTATTTAATACAAGATTTTTATGGTATATATCTATCTATCTATCTATCTCTATTTATTGGTCTGGTTTTTTGTTTTATGGCATATCAACCTCAATGGGTTATTTAATTAAACAAGATTTTTACTGCTGGTATATTATCTATCTATCTATCTATCTATCTATTGGTCTGGTTTTTGTTTTATGGCATATCAACCTCAATGGGTTATTTAATGCCCGACAAGATTTTTACTTCTGGTATATTATATCTATCTATCTATCTATCTATTGGTCTGGTTTTTTGTTTTATGGCATATCAACCTCAATGGGTTATTTAATGCCGACAAGATTTTTTACCGCTGGTATATTATCTATCTATCTATCTATCTATCTATTGGTCTGGTTTTTGTTTTATGGCATATCAACCTCAATGGGTTAGCTAATGCCGACAAGATTTTTACTGCTGGTATATTATCTATCTATCTATCTATCTATTTGTCTGGTTTTTGTTTTATGGTATATCAACCTCAATGGGTTATTAAATGCCGACAAGATTTTTACTGCTGGTATATTATCTATCTATCTATCTATCTATCTATCTATTGGTCTGGTTTTTGTTTTATGGCATATCAACCTCAATGGGTTATTTAATGCCGACAAGATTTTTACTGCTGGTATATTATCTATCTATGTATCTATCTATTGGTCTGGTTTTTGTTTTATGGCATATCAACCTCTCAATGGGTTATTTTAATGCCGACAATCTATTTATCTATCTATCTATCTATCTATTGGTTGGCAAAACAAGAATTTTTATTGGTCTGGGCATATCAATCAACCTCAATGGGTTATTTAATGCCGACAAGATTTTTATCTATCTATATATCTATTGGTCTGGTTTTTTGTTTTTATGGCATATCAACCTCAATGGGTTATTTAATGCCGACAAGATTTTTACTGCTATATTATATTCTATCTATCTATCTATCTATCTATCTATCTATCTATCTGGTTTTCTATGGGAATGGGTATTTTGGTCTGGTTTTTTTTTTTGCTGGTATATATCAATCTATCTATCAATGGGTTATTTGCCGACAAGTTAATGCCGACAAGATTTTTACTGCTGCTATATCTATCTATCTATCTGGTTGGTTGGGTTTTGTTTTTATGGCATATCAACCTCAATGGGTTATTTAATGCCGACAAGATTTTTACTGCTGGTATATTATCTATCTATCTATCTATCTATCTATCTATCTATCTATTGGTCTGGTTTTTGTTTTATGGCATATCAACCTCAATGGGTTATTTAATGCCGACATGATTTTTACTGCTGGCATATTATCTATCTATCTATCTATCTATCTATCTATCTATTGGTCTGGTTTTTGTTTTATGGTATATCAACCTCAATGGGTTATTTAATGCCGACAAGATTTTTACTGCTGGTATATTATCTATCTATCTATCTATCTATTGGTCTGGTTTTTGTTTTATGGCATATCAACCTCAATGGGTTATTTAATGCCGACAAGATTTTTACTGTTGGTATATTATCTATCTATCTATCTATCTATTGGTCTGGTTTTTGTTTTATGGCATATCAACCTCAATGGGTTATTTAATGCCGACAAGATTTTTACTGCTGGTATATTATCTATCTATCTATCTATTGGTCTGGTTTTTGTTTTATGGCATATCAACCTCAATGGGTTATTTAATGCCGACAAGATTTTTACTGCTGGTATATTATCTATCTATCTATCTATCTATCTATCTATCTATCTATTGGTCTGGTTTTTGTTTTATGGCATATCAACCTCAATGGGTTATTTAATGCCGACAAGATTTTTACTGCTGGTATATTATCTATCTATCTATCTATCTATCTATCTATTGGTCTGGTTTTTGTTTTATGGTATATCAACCTCAATGGGTTATTTAATGCCGACAAGATTTTTACTGCTGGTATATTATCTATCTATCTATCTATCTATCTATCTATCTATCTATCTATCTATTGGTCTATCTTTTTTGTTTTTTTGGCATATCAACCTCAATGGGTTATTTATTTAATGCCGACATGATCTATTTTATTGCTGGCATTTTATGGCATATCTCTCTATTTAATCTATCTTTCTATCTATCTATCTATCTATCTATCTATCTATCTATCTATTGGTCTGGTTTTTGTTTTATGGTATATCAACCTCAATGGGTTATTTAATGCCGACAAGATTTTTACTGCTGGTATATTATCTATCTATCTATCTATCTATCTATCTATTGGTCTGGTTTTTGTTTTATGGCATATCAACCTCAATGGGTTATTTAATGCCGACAAGATTTTTACTGCTGGTATATTATCTATCTTTCTATCTATCTATCTATCTATCTATCTTTTGTGGCATATTCTGGTTATTTTGCCAAACAAGATTTTTATGGCATATAAACCTCAATATTGGGTTATTTAAAAAGATTTTACTGCTGGTATATTATCTACATGATTTTTTACTGCATGGCATTTTATCTATCTATCTATCTATCTATCTATCTATCTATCTATTGGTCTGGTTTTTGTTTTATGGCATATCAACCTCAATGTGTTACTTAATGCCGACAAGATTTTTACTCTATCTATCTATCTGGCATATTATCTATCTATCTATCTATCTATCTATCTATCTATCTATCTATCTATCTCAGTATATATTGGTCTGGTTTTTTTTTTTTTTTGTTTTATGTCATATCAACCTCAATGAGTTATTTAATGCCGACAAGATTTTTATTGCTGGCAATATTTTTTTCCAAAAATGTATTGCTGGTAATATTTTTCTTTTTCAAAAATGTACTGCTGATAATTTTTCTAAAATGAGTATTACTGGTATTGAAACCTATTTTTACACTTTCATCGTGTTTTGACCCCTTTTGTGGGGTTATCTATTTGCCCATAAGTGGGAAACTGACAGGTGCTACCACCCGGGGTTAGTGTGGAGCTGGAACACCAGCAATTAAGAGGTGGTTCTACAAAATCTCCTTGCTGCCGGATGTATTTTATCGTCATACCCAGGACATGAGGATAGACTGCGCATGGCAGCAAATAAACCAGCTGACTTTATTGATAAATTTTTTTTCATAATAAAACATCCCCACAAGACAAACACTGTCAGTTCTAATAGTCTTTATTACAATCAATGAACGTTACTTTTGGGTTGAATTAATTTCTTAGCTATTGGTAACATATGAGAGTTCAACGGGGGGGCAGTAAAACGGGTCCTAAATTCTGTCTTTTAATTTATTTTTCTTTATTAGAAATTGAAGAAAAGATGAGTTATCTGCCCTTATCAGTTCAATGATACGAATAATGAATATAAATTTCCAAATGAATAAATTTCCATGGATAATTTAGGAGATTTCTGACGGAAGGACGTTCTTTTGGAAGAGCGGAAGCAGAAAAAAGCATAACGTTGTCCAAATGATATAAACAAGATGAAATTATGGTGATTAGAAGTGTCCTATGAATAAATTTCCATTTATGATTAAATTTTATTCGTTGAAAACAAGAAGGAAAAGCGTCAGTTACTGAGTACAGTCTGTCTGCCTTTTTCGTCTGATCAAAGATGCCTTTCGTCGGGTACCCTACGAAAACAACTCCTGCCACATTATCTCGTGCCAGTTTTAAGCTCAGTGCCAGGCTATGTAAATGGTTGGCACTTGAATGACATCAATAGCGCACGTCTTTGCGAGTAACACATGCTAAATGACAGGGTTATTACGGTTCAACTAACCAAAGGTTTTTATTACAATCTCAATCGGGCAACAAACAGCTTCACAGGATACATGTTTACCTCACGTGTAGAACATTTGTTTACAACGTCCCACATTTGGCGACGAGAGGAAATAAAGGATGCATATAAAACAATATATGGACTATTGTTTCAGAATCGCAAATAACTATGCTAAATAACAAAAAACACATTGCTTGATAAATTTTAACAACGGCAAAAAATAAAATACTCTCGAAAAGAAAATAATGACATAATGAAGATACTGACGTCCGACACTCCTTCAAGAAGATAAGAGTCAGTTGACTTGAGAAACAGTCAAATCAGCAGATAACGAAGAAAAAATATACATAGGAGTAAATGAAGGACCCTGGAAACAAAGAAACTACGTACACAAAACATCCTTTACAAATGGTAAATACGCGAATAGCACAATGCTTTTTAAACATATCTGGGGAAATTAAAACAAAAACCAAATCACACCAAAAATATAATGGAAAATATGGAAAACAGCATCAGTCTACAATAATAAATCCAAATATAAGAAATTCTCTCTGGAGGAATAAATACCATCCCAGACCAACACAAATGACTAAATAAACGATTAGAACTTATCTCAAAATGCAAACACGTTACTTAACAATCGAAAAATTAAAAGGAAATAAAAAAATAAAATAAAATATTCCAAATGAATAGCAAAAAAAAAAAATTAAATAATAAACAAATTGACAAACTACGAATGCACAGAAAACAAACGTAATAATAAGAAATAGTAACAAATAATCAAGTAATAAATCGTAAATAATGTGTAAAAATGTTACGATACAGTACTACAAAATATCCAGAAAAGTGCATTCGGATCCGCAATTACTTCTATTCAATAACTCCTAGAATAATTTGAAAAATAACCGTTAACAATCACGAAATAACCGTTAGATTAATACAATAGACCTACCCATAATACACCATTGACCAACATATATAAACAGCCGTGCCAAAATACAATACACATTACCTGAAGATTGTATATAAAAATGAAACAGACTGCTGTAGCTGGTTGTTAACATCAATGACTACTTCATATCTACATATGTTCTACCCCTGATACTGAGCACTATAATCCATTAAATATACCATACCTTAAAACTAAATATTTATTACATATAAATATATGAGTTGAGAAAACAGTGAGGCTGACACAAAATGATTTTATCATGTTCTCTTTCTAGCTCAATATCCTAAAGGCTTTATGACAAATGGTGTCAAAATAGCTAAACGTGTTATCCTGGAATTCCTTGTAAAAAAAAAAAAGAAACTCAATTAATTTACTGTTTTTTAGATATTAATCATTTTGTAGGTCGGATACTTACGGTGTTACTAGATTTGGACAATTTTGTTGTTACACCGGTATATATATATATATATTTAATTAATTCATTGAGTCTGATAGAAACCTCAACAGAAATAATGCCGACAAGAAGCACTGGACGGCCGTTTCGTCCTATATTGGTCTGGTTTTTGGGACACATCAATGGGTTATTTAATGCCGCATCCACCACCGAGTATCGAAACCCTGACAGCTGGGTTGTCAAGCGAACAACATACCAACTGTACCAAATGGGCCTCGGCATATAACGAAGAGATTCCAAATCAGACTCATTTTTTAGCGCCGCTCGCTCACATATTCCGTGGCGGAACTCGACTGAGTTCTCTGTATGCCGACAATATAGCACACCTTAAGACTATCTATATATATATATATATATATATATATATATATATATATATATATATATATATATATATATAGATAGGGTTCTTAAAGGATTTTACTATATTATGGAATAAATGCTCAATATCATTGGTCTGGAGATAGAGCAATATGTGTAAATATAAAAGTGAACATACTATCAACCTCAATGGTTATTTATCAACACTTATCGACGACATGGAAACAGACTGTCGCCTCTAAGCGTTATTTTGACTTCTACAAATTTTCACTGCTATATATATATATATATATATATATATATATATATATTGATGCATGTTTTCATTAAATAGTATAGACAAGTTTTGTCTATTTATTTTAAATCAAATTCCTTTCATATCGTCTGATAATCTTAACAGCATTATCATTGAAAGACGAAAGAAAATCATCATATTGATATGTTTTTGTTTTTAATCCTACCTAATTTTTTACTGCTTTCGGCTTATTATAGCTACCATCAAAGATGGTCTGGTTTAGATTACAATAAATGAAACAATACACGGACATAACATACGCACCACAAATTCGCTTTCTCGATGCTTGATTCTACATTTGAATGATAATTCTAACATTTTAGACATTTAATACAACATGTCTGGCCGCGTTTTTACATCAACCTCGGAAAATCCTTGTTGAAAACATAACTATACTTAAACATGAAAGCAAGCAAGTAAGTATTGATTGGTTTTTTACGGCTTATCTCCCTTTTTAAGATTATTTTTTGGTTGTAAGAATAATTCTTCATTTCTTTTTGCGAGTGAATATTGTATTAACAGTTCTTTTTTAGTTAGTAATGGTTTTCAGATAATCTTACTATTTAACCCTTAGCTGGGGAAAAGACTCATAATTTTTCCAATGATATCTGCGCGTAACTGAATATTACGAATGCGAGTGCAATTCGAACTCGTCCTTCTTATTTCTCATTCTAAGCCGGTATATTCAAGATTACAGTAATTGGTCATCACAAACAATCAAGTATCCAGTTACTGACTATTGGTCTGGTTTTGTTTTTTATGGCATATCAACCTCAATGGTTTATTTAATGCCGACAAGATTTTTTTGACATTGCTCAACTTCGGTGAGCGGACGGGAACCGATGTTTTAACGTGATATAGTCGTAAATCCCAAGTAAGAAAGCTAGAAAAAGAGGAAAAAAATATTAAAAGAAAATTGGGGAGGGAATAAATACAGAAGAAACACATAAACCTATTATAGTCTTGAGTTTTATTATCCCTTTACTATTTGCATTGTTCAGACTGTTATCTTCCTCTTTATTGTTATGTTCACGACATTTCAGGTGATTGGAATTTCGTACTGAACCCTTTATTTTGTCCACCGGGATAGATTGTTCTAGTTCCACGTGCCATGCCACTTCCGGATATCTCAGTTATCTCCGTTTAACTCAACTCTCCAAGATTTTTTTTCACCACTTCCGTATACATTTATTTAAATCACAACTCTTTTTATCAATTGGGCCATGTGTCCTTGGAGAGTTGAATTAAAGGGAGATAACTAATACTGAGATATCCGGAAGAGGCATGATACTGGATATTATCTATCTATCTATCTATTGGTCTGGTTTTTTGGTGGTCGAAATGGGTTAAATGGGCTCAGTTCGAAATTTCAATCACCTGAAGAAAACCTCAATGGGATTTTAATACAACGACTGAAATGTCCTGAATATGACACTAAAGATGAGGAAAAGTGTCCGAACCTCAAATGTATGCCGACAAGGTTGGTGTAAAAATAATGACTATAATAATGTCGTTTTTGACGTTAAAAATACGTCAAAAAAACGACATTATTCTATCTATCTATCTATCTATCTATCTTTTTCACCAACCTTGGTATAAACCTCAAGTTTCAATAATTACAATTCCCATTTCTCAGAAATAGCGACAGATCTATCTCTATTACTATTTTCATTTTTTAATTGATACAGCATTGCACATTACATTCGGATGTAGATATAATGGTTTTAATATAGTGATAGCAATGATAAGTATTAGGTTGGTGCAAAAATAATGGCATAATAATGTCGTCATTATTTTTGCACCAACCTAATAATATCGACATGAAAGAAATTGTTCTGATTTAAACCTTTGCTCAGATTATAACAATGTATTTATATTGAGGGGTTATACGTATCATCAAATCACTTTTTTCGGGCTTTTAATCAGCAAAAAGATGGGCCCATAATGCAAATTACAAGTCGTGGATCCTAAAATTTAATTATTTGGGAAGTTTTTTTAACTAAAAGGAAGGTTTTGACCCCTTTTGTGGGGTTTCTATTTGAGATCTGAAGACGTTTTGGGATGGTTAAAGATGCATTTCAAACAAGCTAAGCTGCCGGATGTATTTTATTAAGAGACAGGAAAATTTCGTTGAAAGCAAAAAAAGAATACTGAACTGTTACGTCTAATATCTATCAATGAACGTTCTGTATGTCATTATTGGATGCTGGACAATGTCTTCCTCAAACATATAAGACTTGAAAGACAGAAATGTGGAGCTATAGAATGATGTTAAGGATACTATGTGCCGAACATGTGAGCAATGACGAGGTTTTGGAGAGACGGAAAAAAACAAACGTTGAAACTTATACTTAACACCAGGAAAGTCCAGCTGAAATTTCTTAAATTTTTATTCGTTGTAATGAGGAAGGAAATGCCTTGCCAGGCTATGTAAATGATTTCTTGGAAATTTTGGTACTACAGGACGGACAGAGAGAAAGGGGCAGGGAAAAGCATGACATAACCAAAGGTTTTAATGGGCTTGAGCTTCACAGGATAATGTTAAGTGTATGGCGTCCCACATTTGGACAGACCCTGGGGAGAATGAAAAGACAAAACTTCTTACATTTTTATACAATGAACGGGAGGACGTGGAGGACCATGATCGCTACGTCCTGAAGTGATACAGCACATAAAGAAGAATTTAGTTCAACAAGTCGAGCTATTCCTGAAATTTTGTATGAGTGATGTTAATTATTTAAGGTTACAGTAATAATCTAAAGAAAATATTTTCATTGTAGATATTTTAGACCAACACAAATGACTAAAGCATGTCTTCAAAATAAAATACATCATAGGGTAAACAAATTTTTCTAACTCTAATCACGAAAGAATTTCTTTTGCAAAAATCTCGTTTTGCACAAAAAAAGCCG